GAAGAAGAAGAAGAAGAAGAAGAAGAAGAAGAAGAAGAAGAAGAAGATGTACAGATAAGCAAGTGCTCTAGACACCAACTGGATTCGGGTTTCCCAGCAGAACATGGTATGCAAGCATAAATTAGCTTGTTCTACCTCATGATGTTGGACACCGGGAGGCACTCGCTTTCTTTTTGTGCAACACAGGACCCAGTGAGAAGGAAATCAGCCCTCTCATCGCAGCTCGATCTTGTCATCTTTCAGCCATACTCTCTGCTGCTGCTCTTTCGGCAACTCAAGCAAAGTCATGGAGTCATGAAAACCAATGCAGCTAATAAAATGTTCATGTACCGTCAAAAAAAAAAAAGAGTTGTTTGGTCTACCACAGGGCTTCTTGGCACTGCCTCTCATTCTAGCCCACTATAAACTCAGTGACCTTGGTCAAGTTGCTGCCTTACTTCAGCCTGGGAGTTTGGGGCACCACATTGTCTTCGTGAGCCCATATGGTTCTGACATTCTGCAGTTCTAAGAATTGCTTTCTCCACCAGGCTTTGTTGATCAACATTTTAGGATGTAGGTGTTGTGGCTTATTGTGACTGTGGCCATGATTGGTAGTAGACAAGGGACGCTCTTTCAGGCCGGAGGTGTGACTTGATGGTAGCATACCTACCTAGTACACAGGCCTGGAGTTTGGCTCCCAGTACTGCGAAAGGAAAAGCGCATTCCTTCTAATAGCATAAGACCCGATAAACGGAAGTATCTAATAGTTTGAAGAAGTTCTGTCTTTTCAAGACAGGGTCTCACTATATAACCCTGGCTGTCCCAAAACTCACTATGTAGACCAGGCTGGCCTTAAACTCGCAGAGAGCAGCCTGCTTCTGCCTCCTGGGGGGTTGAGATTAAAAGTGTGTGCCAACACGACCAGTATGGAAGAAGAGTTAAAGAAGAGACTTAACAAAGGGGGGAGGCAGCAAGGAGAGGAGAGAGGAAGGAAAACCAAGATTCCTTTCCTGAGTAGGAACGGAGACCAGATACTCCAGGTAAGTGACCCCACAGTGGGGCTTCCATATCACAACACTTGGCCTTATTTCCTGAAGACTGGAGGGTCAGTGTGATTTGGGAAGGTATGCGGCTTATGCCTACCATCTCACCAAAGGGAAAACAGAGGCAGCATGTAGTTAATCTGATTGGTCAGACTAGTATCTCCTGACTTCCCAGTCTCTCCCAAGGCCCTACTCTATAGGTGGAGTTTTTATGTGCTGGCAGTTGTTCCCAAATAATCACCTAGAAACTTAATATTAATTGTAAATGCTCAGCCAATAGCTCAGGCTTATTACTAGCTAGCTCTTACATTTAAACTAACCCATATTTTTATCTATGCTTTGCCACGTGGCTTGATACCTTTTCTCAGTACAGCATGTCCATCTTGCTTTTCCCTGTGTCTGTCCAATACTCCTCTGACTCTGCCCTTCTTCATCCCAGCATCCTTTGTTTGGTTGTCCCACATATTCTTCCTGCCTGGCTATAAGCCAATCAGCTTTTTATTAAACCAAGTCAAGTGACAAATCTTTACAATATACAAAATGATTATTACACAGCACTGCTCTCCCTGAAGTTAGGTCTTAGTTAGAACTACTCAGCGATCATTTCAAGATATAAATTTTAAAGCATTTATTTATGTTTATGTGTATGCATGCTTGTCTGTGCACCATGAGTGTGCTCGGTACCTAAGGACACCAGAGGAAGGTGTCAGACCCCCTGGGACTGAAGTTACAGAGGAATGTGAGCCACCATGTGGATACTGGGACTCAAACCCAGCTCCTCTGGAAGAGCAGCCAGAATTTTTAACCACTGAGCCATCTCTCCAGCCCCCAAACAGAGATCTTTTGAAATTAAAGGCAAACTATTCTTTGTAAGATGAGAAACAACCCAAACATCCAGTTAAGGAAGCGTATCATATGTGCACACCACAGGACACACAATCAGAAAGGATGTCATACCAAGGAAGTGGGGCTGGAAGACAGCGGAGATCCCCTGGGGGCGATGCTGGGAAATGCAGTGCCTGGGACAGACCATGACCAGCGCACGGTTCCCTGCACAGCTGGACCAGCAATCCAGCAGGCTGCTCTACTAGGACTCAGTGGGCTAGTAGCAGAACAAAGAGGGCGTGAAAGGATGAGGGGACTCCTAGGGAATGTGAGAGTGGAGGCGTCTGGGAGAGTAGGTATCCCAGTGAGCAAGATGCGTTGTTTACACGTACGAAAACGACAAAAAATAAATAAAGGATATTATTCCATTTTTAAAAATGGATGCCATAGAGCACAGAATAATATGAAAAGAGATCCATAAATACACATTTGCTGAGAAAATTGCAGGTTAGAAAATAATATACAGAATAGGATTTTATTTTGAAAAGAGGAATGATTTACAAAACCTGGAAGAAATGTTAGTAGTAATGATTTATTGATGGTGGAAATGTGGGTGATTTTCACGTTTCTATTTTTTTATATCTTCTACAAGGCAGCCCTGTATTTGATGATGACAAGGAGTTGAGCAGAGCCACCCATTACCAGAGGAAGAGTGCCACTAGGGCTTTGAGGTCTCAGTGTCTCTCAGTTCACCTCCTGCTGCCTCCTGATCTGGATGTAGAACTTTCGGCTTCTTCTCCAGCACCATGTCTGCCTACACAGCACCATGCTTCTCACCATGAGGAAAACTGGCTAAACCTCTAAACTGTAAGCCAGCCCCAACTAAACAATTTCCTTTACAAGAGTTACTGTGGCCAGGCAGTGGTGGCTCACGTCTTTAATCCCAGCACTCATGAGGCAGAGGCAGATGGATCTCCATGAGATAGAGGCAAGTCTAGTCTACAAGAGCTAGTTCCAGGACAGCTAGGGCTGTTACACAGAAAAAACTATGTCTCAAAAAACAAACAAACAAACAAAAAGGTACTATGGTCATGGTGTCTCTTCACAGCAATAGAACTCACTAAGATGAGTTCTTTCTCATCTCTCAAAATGATTGCTCTTAGATATCTGTTATCTTATTTAAAGTCACTATTGCTGTGATGAAACAGCAACCATGACCAAAACCAAAAGAAAAGGGCTTATTTCCCTCTCAGTTCTGTCATCAGAGGCAGCGAGGGCAGAAACTCATGCAGGGCAGGAACCTGTAGGCAGGAACTGATGCAGGGCCACGGAGGGGTGCTGCTCATTGTCTTGCTCATTATGGCTTGCTCAGCCTGTTTTTCTCCAGGACCACCAGCCCAGAGGTGGCCCCAACCAGCAGTGGACTGGATCCTTCCCCGTCAATCACTAATTAAGAAGAGGTCCTACAGACAGATTTACGGAGGCATTTTCTCAATTGAGTGTCCCTCCTCTCTGATGACTCTAGCTTGCGTCAAGTTGACATAAAACTAGCCAGCACTTTTGCCTCCAGAGAAAATTAACTACTTATGCAAAATTGAAAGACTTTCCTCCTCCTTAGCTATGAAATGCTATGACCTTGTGAACCCTTCTGCTTTGAGCTGTAGTTTGTTTTAATACACACACACACACACACACACCTAAAATTTCTATAGGCAACCTCTAAGCACTGGGCTAACATACTGGAGTTAACAGGAACAGCTAGAAATGGAACGACAGAAGCCAAAAAACAAGGCTGGTACATTAAGAGACTTTCCCATAACTATGGACTTTGATGAATTAGGTCTTTAATTTTGTTTTGGCAGGTGGTGCTGTCTACGAACTGAGGTTTTTGTTTTTTTTTTTTTTTTGGCCTGAATGGTATTTCCCCCATGAAGTCAATTGTGCTAAGGTCAAATTTAATTTAGAAATGGAAAATGGTCTTTCGGTGCCTAATGTAACAGCAAATCCCTATAATCCTGGAACTTGGGAGAGGGAGGTAGAAAGGACAGTAAGTAGTCCAAGGTCATCTTCCACCACATAGGGAGTTCAAGGGCTGTCTGGAGTACACGAGACCCTGCCTCAAAGCAACCAGAACTAGTGCTAAGAGGCTGGGGTGTCACTCAATTGACAGGGTGCTTGTCCATGCATGAGGCCCTGGACTTAATCTCCAGCCTCGGGCTGGGGTGTCACTCGGTTGGCAGGGTGCTTGTCCATGCACAAGGCCCTGTACTTAATCTCCAGCCTCATATAAAACTGAACACAGTGTTGTCCACTTATAATACAGCACTCAGGAAACAGAGGCAGGAGGATCAGAAGTTCAATAGAGTCACTGGTGGCAGTTGCACTCCATTTCTGTTTATTTAGGGAAAGATCGTCAAGAATGGGCCCCTTCGAACACTCATTCATTGCTGGTGGGAATGCAAACTTGTGCAACCACTTTGGAAATCAGTGTGGTGGTTTCTCAGGAAATTGGGAATCAACCTACCTCAGGATCCAGCAATACCACTCTTGGGAATATACCCAAGAGATGCCCAATCATCCTACAAAAGCATTTGTTCAACTATGTTCATAGCAGCATTATTTGTAATAGCCAGAACCTGGAAACAACCTAGATGTCCCTCAATGGAAGAATGGATAAAGAAAGTGTGGAACATATACACATTAGAGTGCTACTCAGCGGTAAAAAACAACGACATCTTGAATTTTGCATACAAATGGATGGAAATAGAAAACACTATCCTGAGTGAGATAACCCAGACCCGAAAAGATGAATATGGTATGTACTCACTCAATATTGGACTCTAGCCATAAACAAAGGACATTGAGCCTATAGTTCACAAGCCTAGAGAAGCCAAACAAGGTAAACCCAAAGAAAAACATATATAGATCCTCCTGGAAATTGGAAGCAGACAAGAGCGCCAGGCAAAAGTTGGGAGCATGGGTGTGGGGGTAGAAGTGGGGGTAGGGTTAGGGGAAGGGGAGAGGGGGGAGAGAAAAGGGAGAAGGGAAGGTTTGGGGAG